CCTCTATCCTGGGAAAACAGCAGATGTCTAGAGCTGGGCATGCAGTGAATTCAATTAGATTCATGACATCAAGTGTGTCCAGACCATGTCAGAGTATCCTGCAGGAAGATTATGAGGAAGAGCATGTCAAAAGAACAGCTGGGCCCTGGCCGGTGTGTCTCAGTTGGTTGGAGCACTGTCCTGTACACTGCAAGGTTGCTGGTTCAATTCCCGGGCAGGGTACATATCTGGGTGTGGGTTCGTCCTAGGGCACTTATGAGAGGCAGCCAATCAATGTTTCTCCCTCTCTCTCTGTCTCTCTCTCTCCCTTCCTCTCTCTCTAAGAAAGAAAGAAAAATCAATAAACATAATATCCCTGGGCAAGGATTAAAAACAAACCAACACAAAAAAACAGCTAAAGCAAGAAATAGAAAAAATACGGTTCATGCTGCAGTTTGTAATTTAAATTTCATGGAGCTTACCACCTCATAGGTAGATAAGTATAAATACCAAGTAATTATTACATAAAACAAGAAAGTGTCCCTTTGCCCAAACAAAAATAATTTTATTTTTCCTAGGTACGGGAATACACATGCTTACTATAAAAATTGAAATGTAAAAAACTTATAAAGGATAGAGTGAGAACTGTCTGAAACTCTCACCTGAAATTAACTACTGCAAACATTTTGGTGAACATCTTCCCAAAAATCTTTCCATAAATACATGTGTGAAGGTACATACATAATTTTACTTACATGTGGCCTCGGTATACATGGTTTGTTCCTGTTTTGTTCACTTAACAATATCCTCAACATCTTCTGTGTCAATGAAAATAAAATTGCATCATCATTCTCAATGGCCCCACAGTATCCACTGCATGGGAGTGCTATTATTTATGTGATACTTATTTATCCATTAAGTGATGGACATTATTGTTTCTATTTTGGTACTCTTCATTCAACAAATATTAACTGAGTATCTGTGATGTGCCAAGTACTGTTCTAAGTACCAGGGGCACAGTGATGAACAAAATAGGCAAGGTCCATGGCCAAATGAAGCTTACATTCTATGGGGAAAGACGGACAGTATACAAAAAAATAAACAGATAATTTGAAGGAACGATGAGTGCTAAGAAGGAATAAAGACATACTTTCTCAGAGGACTGGGGAGTCAAGAAAGTAGATGACTTTATTTATTTATGTATTTATTTATTTATTTATTGGTGGTGGTACGTGGCCCTAGCGGGAACCAAACCCAGGACTCTCTGGTCCGCAGGCCGACACTCAACCGCTGAGCCAAACTGGCCAGGACCAAGAGAGTAGATGACTTTAGATAAGTGTCTGGGAAGGCCTTCCTGCAAAGATGACATTTGAACAGAAACCTGAGACAGTAAGGCAAAGCGAGAGGTATGAGCATTCTAGGTAGAGGAAACAGTGAGTACAAAGGCCCTGAGGCAGGAAGAGACCCGGCATATTCATGGACTAGCAGGAATGTCAATGTGGCTTGAGGTCAGTGAGGGGTAAGTAGACTAGTATTGAGATCAGCCGAGCGAAACTGGAGTAGGAGCCAGCAAGTAGTGTCCTGCATGGGTTTACATTAAGTGCACCATGAAGTCACTGGAGAGATTTCAGTGCAAACAAGATATAACCTGATTTACATTTTTGAAAGATCACTCTAGCTACAACAATGTAGAGAACAGACTGCTGGGAGGCAACAAATGAGTACAGAGAGACCAGTTAGATGTTTACTTGTCTAAAGGAGAGATGACAGTAACTTAGACAGTGGTGCTAGAAAGAAGTGGCTGGATGAAGACACACTGAAGATTTTTTTAAAAGTGGAAAAGGGTGAGGAAGAGGAACAATTAAGGAGATTCCTAGGTTGTGGCTTCAAGAATTGGGTAAACAGGGAAGAAAAAACGAGACAAGAACAAGTATCAACATATAGATCCTACACGTTTTATTAGATTTATACATAAGTATTTTGGTTTAGGAGGATACAATATATTTTTTAATTTTTGATTTTCAATTGTTCATCAGTAGTATATAGAAATACAAGTTTGTGTTTTGGTCTTGTATTCTGTCATCTGACTAAACTCAGTTATTAGTTCTAGTAGTTCTAGGAGGTTGCTTTTTTTTGTTTGTGTGTTGTTGCCTTTTTTTTTTTTTTGTATTCCTTGGGATTTTCTGAGTATGCAATTATGTCATCTGTGAGGAGGGTTACTTTTATTTCTTCCTTTCCAATCTGTATTCTTTTTATTTCTTTTTCTTGCCTTATTGCACTGGCAAAGACTTTCAGCAGTGGCTCCTGATCTTAGGGGGAGAGCAGTCTTTTACCTTTAAGTATGACGTAGGCTTTTTGTACATGCCCTGTATCAGGTTGAAGAAGTTCCCTCCAAAGCTTGCTAAGAGTTTTTTTAAATCATTAGATGTTGAATTTTGTCAGATGCTTTTTCTTCTGACATGACCATTAGTTTTTTTTTCCACAGTTAATATGATGGATTACATTGACTAATGTTTTTAATAATGAACCTTCCATTCCCAGGATAAACCCCACATACACACCAAATTTGGGAAGTGTTTAGCCATTGTTTCATTGAATATTTCTTCTGCACTTCACTCTTTCTCTTTTGGGAATCCAATGACAAAGATGGTAAACCTTCTAGTATTGTCCCTATGGTCACTGAGGCTCTGCTCAACTTTTTAAATCCTTTTTTTCCTTTTGTTGTTCAGATTGATTAGTTTATAATGCTTTATTTTCAAATTCACTGATGCTTTCCTCTGTCATTTCCATTTTGTTATTGAGCCCATTCAGTTGAGTTTTAAAAATTTTGGTTATTGTATTTTTTTCTTATATCTCCATTTGGTTCTTCTTTTATTATTTTTTATTTTTGGCAAATACTTTCTATCTTTCCATTTATATCAACAGCATCTGCCCCTACTTTTCAGAGCATTTTTATTACAGCTACTTTAAAGTCTTTGTCAGATTATTCCAACATCTGTGTCATCTCAGCACTGACATCTTTTTTTAAAAATATTTTTTCCTTATTGATTTTAGAGAGAGAGGAGAAAGAGAGAGGGAGAGATAGAAACACTGGTGAGAGAGAACACTGATTGGCCGCCTTCTGCACACCCCCCACTGGGGATTAGGCCCACAACCTGGGCATGTGCCTTGACCAGGAATCAAACCAGTAACCTCTTGATACATGGGTTGATGCTCAACCACTGAGCAACACTGGCCAGACCGTGCACTGGTGTCTCCTGATTGTCTTTTCCATGCAAGTCAAGATTTTCCTGGCTCTCCATATGATGATGAATTTTGGATATTCTGAATACTATGTTATGAAACTTTAGGTCTTATTTAAATCTAATGGAGAATGTTGCTATTTTTGTTTTACTAGATAATCAACCAGATTGGATTTAGGTGGCAAGTTCTGACCAGCCTTCTGTGGATGGTGGTTTTAATGCCAGTTCCATTTTCAAAGCCTAGTCAGTTGTGCCTTCTGTGTGCACCACCAGTGTCCAGTCTGGGGCGCAGGCCATGGTCTATTCCTTAGCTCAGTGCTCAAAGTCTTTGTTATATTGGTTAGAATTAGATGCACACATGCATAGCTCAGGGGTTAGCCTGAAAGTTCATAAACAATGTCATGGAGTCACTTTCCTGAGATCCTCCCTCTCTGCTTCCTCCTGTACTTTCCAGTTCATTGGGTTTCCCCTTCTCCGTCCTCTGGCCAGAAAGTTGGGGTTTTCATTACCATATTCTGCCACCTGTTTCTTGAACTATACCCAAATCTGGGGCCAACCAGCAAGAAGGCAGAGAGAGGAAAAAGCAACCAGATTTTATGTCACCCTCTTGGGATTATAGCTCCTTTAATTAGAAAGGTTTCCCTTCCTCAGTCTTAGGTGCTTGAAGGCCCCACTGCTGCCACTGGCACCACCACCACCACCACCACCGAGGGACTGCCTGGGAACCAGGGCATGAGAGAACAGAGGAAAAAACCATTGGGATTTCCCAAGCTGAGCCTTAAAGCCCCTTTCCTGCCCCAGAGCCATAACTAGAGGCCTTCTGAAATTCTCTCTGTGCCCTGGTGTCCACTGCCAAGTTTTGGGCTGTCTCAAGTCCATGACATGGGATACCAGAAGAAAAACGAGAAATTCACTACCAGTGTGACAGTGCTTTTAATTCTAGTCTTTTCCCCCAATCTATCTGCTACTATTTATATTTCAGAGTCCTCAAATAGCTGCTAAATTGTTTATGTCCAGGCCTTTAGCTGACTGCAATGACAGAGATAGACTCTTATATATGTACCTTGTCCATATACTGTGGTGTGGATATAAGCATCCATTTATGCAGGGAACATATTTAGGGGAGGAACTGTGGGGTCATGGGGTATATTCGAATTTAGCTATTCTTTCCCAAAGTGGCTGTAACTAATTTATCCTCTGACTAGTAGAAACTCAGAGTTTCCACTGTACCACATCCACACCAACACTGGACATCAAACTTCTCAAGCTTTGCTATTTTGGTAGGTGTGCTGTGGCTCATTATAAATTCTAATTTGAATTCTCCTATATACTAAGTCAATCAAACACCTTTTCATAGGTTTATTGGCCATTTGGAGTTCCTCTTTTGTGAAGTACCTATTTGGTCTTTTGCCTGTTCAATACTGAGTTGTTTCTTTATTCCTATTGATTTTTGTAGTTCTTTATTCTGGAAACAAACCTTTAGTTGGTTATTTGTGTTGTAAATATCTTTTTTCACTCTAAATTGCCTTTTCACTCTGAGGAAAGAGCATCTCCTGCAAAGTCTTCAGTGTACACTTTTAAAGCCCTGGCAAAGTCTTCTGGGTGTGGTATACCACTCTGCTTCCTAGGCCATGAGTCCCTAGAAAGGCCCTTGAGACTTCCCCACAATTCTGAGATATTCCACTGCCCACCCCAGATACCCCCCACCTTATTAGGCTCCACCTCAAATGTGGTCATTGTTGAGTGCTGAAAGGATGACAGAGGGGAAGGAACTGGTACCTGAGCCTAGAGTTTGTCCAGCGGAGTCAAAGGATAGAACCATTGAATCTGCAACACAAGAGGACAAGTTCATTTCTTTCCCCTTCTCACAGTGAAAAAACAAGTTCCCACTACCTCTGCCCAAACCCTCCCCAAGGGAAAGTCAACTGGAATGGACACAGACTCACAGGTCCATGCCCACCCATCCACTGGGCCAGGAGGCCCTGCCGAACCCAGCCCCAAACCTCCTGCCACAGGAGCATCTCAGAGCAGACAGGCCCCGAGTTCTTCCAAGGCATTTCCTGCCAGATTAGGGGACAAATTTACTTATTTTCCTTTTCATAGTGAAAACAAAATTAAAACAAAGCAAAAGAAAAATTCCCTCCTGCATCTAGTTAAAGACACTAACATTTCCCTTCGACTTCTCCCTTTCTTTTCTTACCTATATACCAATTGTTTATCATTTCTTCCCCCCAAAAGGCTCAGTGTGGCCTATAGGAATTTATAGTGCACATTGGAATAAAAAAATGAAAAAGTCAAAGAAAAATATTATGTAATCGGGAAATGTTAGTGCACAAAATGCATGCCATGAGGACCTATACAAACCTTATTGCTAGAATCAAGGAGGACTGAGCTCCCAAACAGCCAACGGAGAAAATGAAATGACAGATTCAGTGGCCCACATGCATGCATGCATTCATTCTTTCAACTGTTCAGTAAATATTTATTGGGCATCTACTATGTACAAAATATTATACTTTAAGATACAGCAGCAAACAAAAAAAAGCACAGTATCTACCCTCATGAATCTACCTGACATTAGTCTAGGAGAGAGAGAAAACTGTTACCAAACAACAAATTATTAAACTGAAAACTAAGTAAGAAAGAAAAGAATGCTATGAAAGTTTCTATTAGAAACCAGACCCAGGTTAGAAGGGGAGTGAGTGTTGGTTAGGAAAGGCTTCCCTGAAGAAGTGACACCTGACCGAACAGCTGAGCCAAACTGGCCAGGACGGACACTAAGATAATTTAAGGCCCAGGATAACCTCCGAGAACCCAGACTCAAAAGGGATCGCATTCAAAAGGTTCACTCACTACAAAAGAATGCCAGGTGAATGGATATAGGACAAATATCTAAAGCTCCACCCCCACCTCAGCATTAGTCTTCAGATTTCAATTTGTATGCCATTTTTTCTTAGTGCACATGGATATCTAACACAACAGTTATCATATCTGTAAATAACATCTGTGTTTACAAAACCGTAGAAGCACAATTAGGACACTTGGCTGACAGGTAGGTGACCATCGTGTGAGACACAATCAATGACTAACTTACAAATTCTACTCCTTTATCACCATTTCTCACACCTCTCTCCTGTTAGTGCTACTGCCCTTTCAGAAAAGAACCCCTGTTTCTCTCACTCTCTCAGAATTTTATTGAGGTATAATTTACACACTATAACATTCACTCATTTTAAGTGTAGAATTCAATGATTTTTAGAAAATTTACAGAGCTATACAACCATCACCACATGCAGTTTTAGGATATTTCCCTCACCCTAAAAAGCTCCCTTGTGCCCATTTACAGTCATGCCCCATTCCCACCTCCAGCTGAAGGCAACCACTAATTTATTCCCTGTCTTTCTGGATTTGCCATTTCTGAACATCTGCCTATCCCTGTTTTGTGTGGGACTGTTCTGACAGCCCCCTAGCCACACACCTACCTTCAACTTAGCCCACTCCCACCATCCTTTATACTGCTGCATGACTTTTCTAAAATATATTCCTGACTGTGTCTTTGCTCCTTATTAAAATACTTCAGTGGCTTCCCATAGCCTTTAAAGTCCGAGCTCCGACATGCAAGGTCTTCACCATCGTGCCTCATTTGCCACTTCTAATATACCTCATGTTCCAGATATGCCGACTACTTCTGTTTCCCAAAGAGATATGTGTCCCCTATTTTCGGACATCGGGCATCCTGTTCTCTCTGCCTATTTGCATGAAGAAAACGCCCACTTCTCCATTAAGACCCAACTCAATCATCTCTCACCTTGAAGCATTCTTTGACCAATTCTGCCCATTCTCTTCATAGGCATCACTGTGCTGCTATTATGGCATTATTATACTGCATTGTAATCCTTGTTTACTTCTCCTTTCTCTCATTAAACTGCAAGTTCCCTGAGGACAAGGACTGTCTATTCTTTTTGAGGTTTTGATGCCTAGCTCAGTGACTAACACACCAAAAGTGGTCAATATGTTTATTAAACAGAGGAATAAACTAGTAAATGTCCTTGCTTTCTTTCAAAGAGGATGTTATCTGAGTGATATTTCACATGTTGAGGGGAAACCCATTATGCCTATAGATTCTCATTCAATTCAAGTCGACCTTGAACTGTCTTTGTATTGTGAGGCTTCAGAGGTTCAGGGCTGACCTGGTCCTAGGCAGGGGGAATGAGATATGTGTCCCAGGAGCCTTCCAGGAGAGAGCTCACCTCCACCTCCAGAAGACTAGGCAAGGCTTTATGAGGCACTCACTGCCCAGATTACCAACAATAAAAACAGCATCTCAAGTCTTCTTTTGTTTTTTTATCCTTACCCGAGGACATTTTTCGATATTTTGTTCAAATAGAGTGGGAAGGAGAGAGAGAGAGAGAAACACCAATGTGAAAGGGACACATCGAGTGGCTGCCACCCGCACGACCCAAACAGGGCCGGGGACAAACCGCAACCGAGGTACATGCCCTTAGCGGGAACCGAACCTGGGTCTCTCCGGACCGCAGGCCGACGCTCTAACTGCTGAGCCAAACCAGCCAGTGCACATCGCAAGTCTTTACTGCAGTTGACAAGTGTATTTCAAATGGCAATTTACCTTCTTTGTACTCACAAGCAGTCCTGAAATAACTTCTTAAACTTTTCCATCTAAACACAAAGGAAAAAGGCTAAAAGTTAACTGCAAGACTAAAACTTAACTGAGACTAAAAGAAAAAAGACTAAATGTTAACAGTGGTTGTCTCTGGGAGAAAGAATTATAGGTGGTATTTATTCTCTGTAGTTTTGAAAAGTCTCTACAATAAACATGTATTACTTATATCATCAGGAAAAGCAGTTTAAAAGAACTCTCTAATCCAGCTTTGGACTTGAACCTCTAACTCACTGGTATCAAGGCATAAGGATGGAAGGTCCTTGACCACCATCACGGTTCAGCTTTTCTCCTTAGCTACTAAGGCATCCTTGTTTCAGGCCACTTACATGTGCCTCAGCTACATCAACTCCTAAATAGACCGAGCTTTTAAAAAAGTCTTCCCTCCTTCCCACAAATATTATCAAGTACCTATTATGTGCCAGATACAGGCACACCTCACTTTATTGTATTTCACAGATGTTGCTGAAGGCAAGCCCCTCTAGCAGCAAAAAGGTTACAACTTGCTTTATTGGGATACAGCTTTACTGCAGTGGTCTGGCACTGACCCTGCAACATCTCCGCGTATGCCTGTACTAGAGATACCGAGCCAAATAAGAGACCGTTTTTTACCGTCCAGCCCAGGAAGACAGACAAGTTAATAGTCACTTAAAATAAAGTGTGATGTGGGTTTGTGAGGGGTAAGCACCAAGGAGATGACAGCCTTACTGGAAAGAGAAGTCCAGGTTTTCACGAACATCGTTCTCTAAGCATGTGTGGGGTGCTCTCAAAAGCATGTGTCTTTGACTGCAGAAGATGCAAATGAGAGAGCAGAAATTTCAGGAGGAAGTTACTGACACGTTCATGGTTTTTGTTAAGTTTTGATATCACTTTGAGCAGTAAAGCCACAGACTTGAGAATCAGAGTTTGGCCAATCATTATTTGTGTTTACTCTAAAGGATGTAAGATCATTTTAGTTATAAACCATTTTGACAGCAAAAGGAAAATTCATATTCAACAAGTTGAGAAGTTCGTTTTGCAAGAAACAGAGCAAGACTATCCAGACTTTCCCCCTCAGGCTAAAAAATAGGTCATTTTTACCACAAGCAGCCCAGGCTCCAGCTGTTCCTGGCTCCCAGCAGAGGCAGCCATGTGTGTGCTATACAAGTGACCGAACAGAATTCCAGACCAAAGTCCAACCGAGTATCACTGCACATGACTTTGTCCAATGAGGAAACTAGAATTTACTGGAAATCTTTTATTATGGTCAGCTGTTTCCTGTGTCTGGTTTCTGAAGCAGATAAAAGGAATATAAAGAAAGTAGAAAGAATGGGGCCCAGTCCTTCCAGTCATTGGAGAGGCTTGCAAAGCTCCAGTTATGCAGTGACCAAGCTACGTTTTCAGATCCCAACTGTCATGGTATATGGTCAACACAGATATTCTGCTAGCCACCATGTGCAAATCTTAGAGATGTAAGAATTTTAAATAAGTTCCTTCAATCAGCTAACAGGTAAAATAAACACACATATAAAGTTAAGCATTCTGTTAATAATACTGTATTGTACTCCTGAAATTTGCTGAGAGAGTAGATCTCAAATGTTCTCACCACACACAGACACACAGAAAGGTAACGATGTAAGGTGATGGATGTGCTAACTAACCTTATCGTGGTAATCATTTCACAATATATATGTATATTAAATCATCACGTTGTACATCTTCAACTTACACAATGCTATTTGTCAATTATGTCACATTAAAAAAGGGGGGGTGGGGCTAAGTATAATATATAGGAATGGAAGTAACGAAGGAGATATTTCAGTTCATTAATTTAACATATTTATTAAGCAACCACTTCACACCAGACTTAGGGATACAAAGGTAAGCCAGAATACGAACGTTCCTACTCTCAAGGCATTTATAATGTGGTCAGGGAAAATAAAAAACAAACATATAAATGAACAAGATAATTTCTGACAGTAACAAGCGGTATGAAGACTAGTCAGCGACGTGCTATTGGCCACGGTGGAAGTGCAGGCAATACGAGGAAGGGCGTTTCAGGAAAGATTCAGGGTGACATGTGGGCTGAGACTGGGAGACAGGAGCCAGTCAGGAGAAGATCAAGGGTAAAATAAGTCCATGCAAAAGGAAAGGTAAGTTTTGGTACATTTAAGGAACAGAGAGACGGCCAGTGCTGCTGGAACACAGAGCATGGAAAACACAGAAAGGGTGGGAAATCAGGTCAGAGAGGAAAACGGGAACCAGATCCATAAGCGAGGCCTTGTGGAGGAGCCCTAGAGAGATGTCTGTGTTGTATCACAACGGCAGCGAAAACTTCTGCTTAAAACCAGGGAGTAACATGATCTGATTTGTTTTGTTTTGTCTTTTCAATATAAACTTCGATTGCTGTGTGGAAATTAAATCGAGTGTTCTGGCAACAGAGTAACAGGTAGATTAGGGAGAGATTGCAGGCAGGGAGATTGACAAGAAGAAGGCATCATCCCTGATGAGAAGTGATGCTAGCCGGAACCAAGGCAGTGGCAACACAAACAGAGAAAAACAGATGAATGCTAAAAATGTTTAAAAGGGAAAATTTACAGGACTAGAGACTGATGAGACATGAGTGAGAAATAATGAAGGAGGAGGATTATAGCTGCATTTTGGGCTTGGGCAAACAGAGGCTAACTGTGGTTTGACTGGGAGTGGCCTTCATCTAAACCACATGACCTTGCCTCTCCTCTGGTCACTGACAGACCACAGGTAGGTGCCTAACCCAAAGGAAGGCAGTCTGTAGACTGACGACCCATTTATGAGGTAGATAAGTTCCACCTTTTAGAGACTTGAACTGGGAAGCATGGAGAGCTGGAGCCATTCATAAAACACAGCAAACAGTAGAGACCGGGAGGCTACTGGCTAAATTTAATGCTGGGCCCTGGGGCCCGCCTACCAGTGGCAGAGCATCGGGGTGAAGAGCAACAACCCTGTTACTGAAGCAAGGAGACACCTTTAAGAGCTGCCTTAGAGCCAGTGCCAGTCTCTGTGGCAGCCACAGACCAAGCTTCCACGAGAGCTTTAGTTTTTTCCTCAGTTCTGCGGAGGCTTGACCTATAATAGCGATTCTCCTTTTCATGTCTCTTGCTATCTTGGAACTGTCCTTAGTCTGAGTGGGCTCACCTCCTCTACTTTCCAGTCCTCACACTTGACTACCCCGGACACTCTCTGCCTTCCTGATGGCTGGGTGGAAGGGGCGGGCCTGACACCAGGCTGGACCTGCTCCCACCACAGCTCACCTCACAGGGCGTGAATCTTGGGAGGAGGAGAAGAAACTTGGGTCTAAGCTGTGTTCTCCAATCGAGCTTTATGAACTCTCCACTTCGGGGTTTATTAGGAGCCATACGGCTACCTGTGTCTTATTCTATTTTCTCCATTGCTTAGATCCTGTGGGAAGCTAACCTCTCAATTTAGCCCCTCAATTTCTTCCCTAACCCCAATCCCAAACAAACAAAATCTGAGTAATGAGATTCCTGAAGATACACTGAGAAGAAAGAGTCTGAGGACAGAAAATAAAACACAAGCGGTAATTTATGGGAATGTGGCATAAAAAAGAAATACTGTGAAATAATGAAAAAAGATGGAAGTAGCAGGACAGAGGAAGCCAGAGGAAGTGAGAACTGGTTATAAGAAGGAATATCCAAATGTGGCAGAAGCTGATGGGTGAAAAGATACCCCAGAAATATTCATTAGAAAGACATCTGTAATTTTAGCGGGAACAATTTCTGTACAATGATCAGACTTTGGGGACTCAGCTGTGAATGAGTTAAGTAGAGGCTGTTGATAAAGACTTATTTCAAGATGTTTTCCTTAGATTTATCTCATTAATGTACTTTCCAAACAAACATGTAGTTCTTACTAAGCTCAAGACTGTATGAAAAGATTAAGCATGGTCCCTGACATGAATTTATGAACTGTTTGAAGAATCATACGGAGATACAAGTAACATGACAAGCCTTTAGAGAAGTTGCTATAGGAGTTTGGATGCAAGAGGAAGAGTTTTCGCTGGGAGAACCTGGGGAGACAAGAAGGAAGTAGTACGTGAGTGGGTAAGAGATGACTTAATAGGACAGGCTGTGCTGGCAGAGAGGGAACACCTACGGAGAAGCACTGCAGCGTGGGAAGTGAGGGTTGTGTGGTTTCAGGAAGGTAAAAACATACCTAATTAATATATCACCTCTTTCAGAAGGTAAAAATGCATGTGACTGAAAGAGAACTAGTCAATACAATCTGTTTAGACATTCCAAAAAGGCTTTGACACGTCAAAGACTATTTTTAAAAAGTGAGTCACCATGAAATTGAGAAATAAACTGCTATGTCATTTAGAAGACAAAAGGCACTTGGCTGAGGATCAGGGGCAGGACACCCCCTGAAACATCAGTACCCACAGAGAGACCAGGAAGTCTGGGAGTCGCTGGAATCCTACAGCCACTGCCCTGTGGAGGTGGGGGGCGCAGAAAGGGTGGCACTGCTTACAAACACTTTGTGCACAACAGAAGTGGCTGGAACAAAAATGGAAGTAGGCATGTGCTGAAACTAAAAGTGAAATAACAGGATGAGGTTGGGAGCTGCAGGAGCATGGGAAAGTTTTGGTACTGGTGTCCTAGAAATAGGAAAGGGACCCAGCTGGTGTGGCTCAGTGGATTGAGCGTTGTCCCATGGACTGAGAGGTCCCGGTTCGATTTCTGGTCAGGGCACATGCCTGGGTTGCAGGCTGGCACATGCCCAGGTTGCAGGCTTGATCCCTAGTAGGGGGTGTGCAGGAAGCAGCCAATTGATGCTTCTCTCTCACATTGATGTTTCTATCTCTTTCTCCAAATAATCAATAAAATATTTTTAATAGGGAAGAGATGAATTTTGCACAGGACCAGTTTGCTGAACGCTTATTTAGATTACACACACACCTCTGCTCCCTTCCAAAACCCTCAAATGACAGGAAAGATTGTTTGTTTGTTGTAGAGTCAACATA